CCCCCCCCCCCCACAAAGTTTTACCCTTTATTGTTAATTTTTACTCTTTTTTTTTTTTTAATTATTGATTTCTCAACCACAGGTGAAGCACCCAGAGGTTGCTCAATTTCTTGGTGGAAGGCTTTATGATTGCGTTTTCAAATTTAATGAAGCTTTAAGTTAAATAGTTGAGTTAATCAACTATTTCAGTTCTTTCTACCGGACAAACTCAACAAATTGAAGATTCTTGTAAATCATTATTAGTGGATACGATTTGCAACTCTGTTGCAGAAAATGTTCTTCAGTTCTTGAAGGTTGGATTGCAAATGAAGCACGTGTGTTATTTTCTTCCTTAAACTTTTGCTTGTTTTGGGTGCTCCCGCAGTAGTGTGGCTATGCAGGTATTATTACAGTTGCAACTTGATCTCACCCTGTTGTCTTTCCGGCACTCCAGTTGGACCTAGTATTCCAAACCAACAGTTAAGTGTTGCATTAGTTTGGTGGAACCATAGAAGAGAGTTGCAACCAGGGATGTAACAGTGTACACAGTTTTACAGATGTCTCGATTAATTAGGCTACAAATTGCATTCAAGTGCATAAACAAGAAAAAAAAACCTTGGTTCCCTAATAGCTTGTGTGGATGGTTGTTATGTATCGTTTTGTAAAGTATCGTATAATATTGTACTGTTTTGTATCGTTTTGATTTATATAATTTTTGGATAGGTTGTATTGTTTGTCATCATTTCACGATGCCACGCATCAACAATGTGAAGAATGAACTTGCAATATTATAAAGAAAAAGTAAGGTACAAGGTAGAATTATTATATAAAAAGGTAGGGTAAAAGATAAAATAGGATTATTTAAGAATAAGGAAGGGCGAGATGAGAGAAAAAATTATGGTAACGAAGTGACTATACCAAATCGGTCATTCCATAAAGTGATACCTTTTCGTCGTTTGTAATAATGAAATTAACAATACAATAAAATTTAAGTTATAATTAAAATAAATATTATATTTAAAGTCACAATACAATAGGTAACAATCTAAACAAGCTGTAAGTTTGCTTGTTGCACGGTGAACTTGCTTCTTTCCAAGCTCAATATGATTGTTTTATTTGTGTATAAGTTAAGTTCATGTCTATGTTAAATGCATTTGAATATTTTCTTTGTTACTTTTGTCACTACTTGTTTATATGCAAAGTAATAAGCGAATCAGTTAGAGATCGTCTACATCTATCTATCTTGACCAGTATTTGAGTACAATTTATTTTAAAACATGCCAAAACTTGAATTAAAAAGAGTATGTGCAATTCAATTTTTTTCTCCCCCATCCATAATATTAAAAGAAATAAATTTTATAAATCTCTTTCTTTCGTGGCAACATCAATATTTGAAAGAATCTATTCAAAATTAATTAATGGATGTAATCTTTGACCAATACACTTATAGATTGTGGTCATCTAAACGAATTTTCTCAACTATAAAAGGACACAATTCCTTGGCTCTAAAACATGAATTGAGTGCAGAAAGAGAGGCTATAACTTCATTTACTCAAGTCTAAAGTTGCTGTCATATGATCAGGAGGTCACAGGTTCGAGCAAGACTGTGTATAATAGACCCTTATGATTCGGCCCTTTCCCGGTTCCCGCATATAGCGGGAGCTTAGTGCACCTGGCTGCATTGATATTATTTCTACACACTGTGCCTTTGACCTATCGAAAATAACCTCTCTATCTCTATGAGGTAGGGGTAAAGTCTGCGTACACACCACCCTCCCCATATCCCATTTATGGGATCAAACTGGTTTTGTTGTTGTTGTTGTTGTTGTATGTGCCTTCGATTAAAAGAGCTGTTTCAAAAGGTGGTGAATAGCTTGAATTAGATTTTATTGAATTTAGAGAGGGTCCATCTACAATTTCAGATGTCGAAACTATTCATTTTCTAAAATTGGTCGTTGTGAATTGTATTTGGGATATGATCTATCAATAGTTGACAACTCATATTTTAGGATCTTGGTTAGATTCCAAGTATAATTCACATCGGACTAATTTTAGGAAACGAAGAGTTTCTCCGTCAATTAAATTAGATCGTAGATGAAAATATCTCTAGATTCAATAAGATCTAATTCATGCTCTTCAACACCTAAATAATTTAGCTTAAATAATGGAGTTCCAGCCAAATTCTTACAAATTTGGCCTGAAAAAGATGTCCATATGGACCAAACCAAAAAAAAAAAAAAAAAAAAAAAAAATGACAGCGCATGTATATATATTTTTTGTAGGATTAGATCGTCTTCACTTTTTTCATTAGGTTTTATGATGGAAAAATCAACAAGCTATGACTTCAAAGCTTACCTTATTTCAAAAAAGAGAGATCTTTTTAAATTAAATATTAAGGTTGAGTAAGAGGGCAGAGCCTGAGGAGGGAGGCGAGTTGCGCCATGCCTAGTGTCACGGGCGCGTTTTATGTCTCACAAAAACAGCCCGCGCGGCAGCCAAGACTCGCCTTGACTTCAGCCTGTTCCAACACTCGGCCAAAATTTCAGCAACTTTGGACTTTGATTTATTTAGGCAGCGTTTCAAAGTAGTAAGTAGACACTGATTTAGGCAACGAAAATATGATGAAGGGACAGAATATAAACGTGAACAAAAGGCGCAATATTACAGGAACTCTTTCCCAACTTTGTATTTAACTCGAGAATCCAAAGAAAAATCAAACTCACGTACATCCGCGTACAAAAAAGGATCACTCTTGACCCTCACAAGACTACTCTTAGCCTTCGGTTGTTTTAGGACTCTTCCTAAACTCAAAACATGCACTCTTATACGTTTTTCTCCTTATGCCACAGAAGGAAAGGGTGTTGCCCATTTATAATATATGAAACAACCCCATGTTTACAATAGTGTAGTTGCCCACTCAGCCCACTACTTTACTTTAGTGTAGTTGACACCCCCAACTACTAGGATCATGTAAATCATGCTAAAGTAAATGGGATCATGGCCCCCAAAAACGTGCTAACTCCTGCCAGCATTTTAGCAAAGCTCCAACTGCTGCCCATGTGCACAGCATGTGCCGGTAACCGCCTTTGACTTTGTCAAACCAAGACTTGCTGCCCCAATTTCGTGCCTTGGCTTGGACCAGCTCCAATGCCATTGTATCTAGCTGCATTGTGCCACAAATTGCCTTGCCATCGCCCACGAACTTGGCCCGTTTGCCGCAACTTATTGCCATGACAAATCTGCCCGCGCACTGCCTTCCCGTTGCACATTTGCTTGCCTTTGCCTATCCGTTTTTGCCTTGCCTTGGCATCACTGCCTCATGCCTTGATGCCTTTGCCATAATCAAGTGTCACCCTTAGCCCGCAACTCATTGTAAAGCCCTTGCCAAGCTGCCTCGCCTCCGTCAAAGCCTTAGCCATCACTTGCCCGTTTCCCTTTTTGACTTTGGTGCTACTCGTGCACCTATCTTTGTAACACTCTTGCTGCCTCATGACAACACTCTTGTTGTCAAGTCGAGCTCAATTGGCGGAGGTCTAGCAAACCACCTACACCCTTTGAAACTCGACGTCCTCGTCGAGGTTAACTCAATTTATAAGCCCTAAGGGGTTGACAAGCAATGCCCCTTGGCCCCTTTTCTCATCAGCTACAATTGCATTGACACCAACAGCTTGTTTATCACTGTTCAACGCCTCCAATGTAGCCCTCTTCTCCGCGGCAGTCATTGCATTTAACACCGCCTTGTTCGGACAGTCCCTCGCTCGATGTGGTCCATCACAAAGGAAACAACCACTGAATTTGCTGCCCTTCTCCTTGCTTTTTGAAGTTCCAGCTTCCTGCTTTCCCTTCCCCTTATCTTCATGTGCATTGCCAGTTTCACATTTCTTCCACTCCTTTGCCTTGTCCTTCTTTCCGTCGTTGGACTTTGAAGCAGAAATCTCATCACTCATATGAAAATCGCCCAATGCATCCGCCGCAACCACAGTACTTGTGAGGTTTTGAATATTCTGCCTTCGCAACTCAAGTTGTGCCCACTGTTGCAGCCCGCTCATGAAGTTGTGCAACTTGTCTTCTTCCGACATGTTGCTGATGCTAAGCATCAAAGATGTGAACTCTTTCACATAGGCCCTAACTGATCCGGTGTGTTTCAACTTTTTCAGTTTGTCCCTAGCAATCCAAGATGTATTACTAGGAAGGAACTGATCCTTCAATTCCTTTTTAAGCCGCTCCCACGACTCAATCTTTGGTCTACCAAGACTTTCATCTTCAACCACACGAGTACGCCACCATAACTTAGCATCATCACTCAAATACATGCTAGTCAAGGTTACTTTCTCCTTTTCGTCTTGCACACGAATAGCATGAAAGTACTGCTCCATATCCCAAAGAAAATTCTCCAATTCACGTGCACTCCTTGCACCTCCGAATGCCTTAGGTTCAGGAATTCTCACCTTGAGACGTTCAGCACCACGTTGAGGAGCATCCTCGCCCACAGCACGTCGCAGCACCACTGTCTCGGCCATCAGATCTGCGTTCTCTTGACTAAGCCTTGCCATTTTTGCCTCAAGATATGCAAGTCTTGTCACAAGAGACTGAAGTTCTTCACCTTCAGGAACATTTCCCACCAATGCTTCCAATTTCGTTAGCCTTTCCCGCAGTTCATTGTTACCACCGGCCATGTTCTCGAACAAGACCGCGAAATCTGCCACTACACGTCGTGTCTCCGCCACGAACCTGCTCCGCTCTGATACCAGTTGTCACGGGCGCGTTTTATGTCTCACAAAACAGCCCGCGCGGCAGCCAAGACTCGCCTTGACTTCAGCCTGTTCCAACACTCGGCCAAAATTTCAGCAACTTTGGACTTTGATTTATTTAGGCAGCGTTTCAACATAGTAAGTAGACACTGATTTTAGGCAACGAAAATATGATGAAGGGACAGAATATAAACGTGAACAAAAGGCACAATATTACAGGAACTCTTTCCCAACTTTGTATTTAACTCGAGAATACAAAGAAAACTCAAACTCACGTACATCCGCGTACAAAAAAGGATCACTCTTGACCCTCACAAGACTACTCTTAGCCTTCGGTTGTTTTAGGACTCTTCCTAAACTCAAAACATGCACTCTTACACGTTTTCTCCTTATGCCACAAAAGGAAAGGGTGCTGCCCATTTATAATATATGAAACAGCCCCATGTTTACAATAGTTGCCCCATTTTAGGCCTAGACACTTGCCCACTCAGCCCACTACTTTACTTTAGTGTAGTTACCCCCAACTACTAGGATCATGCTAAAGTAAATGGGATCATAGCCCCCAAAAACGTGCTAACTCCTGCCAGCATTTTAGCAAAGCTCCAACTGCTGCCCATGTGCACAACATGTGCAGGTAACCGCCTTTGACTTTGTCAAACCAAGACTTGCTGCCCCAATTTCGTGCCTTGGCTTGGACCAGCTCCAATGCCATTGTATCCAGCTGCATTGTGCCACAAATTGCCTTGCCATCGCCCACGAACTTGGCCCGTTTGCCGCAACTCATTGCCATGACAAATCTGCCCGTGTGAGCACGTGATTTTTGCCCTAAGCAAATCATTCCAAAAGTTTCAAATAATTGATTTCTTAATTATTTTACAATTTTTGTGAATTTTTGTTAAATTTTTGTGTTAATTGGTTGCATTTTTATTCATATGAAAATATAAAAAATATGCATT